AAAACAAGCTCAGTGAGTGTGCATCTGTGCCCCAAAACCCAACATGATGGAGAAATAGAGAAGGGATTGTGGTGTGACCACACCCCATTGGAATGTGCTTTTCCCTTCTCCTTCCCTCTCTGATTCTCTCTGCCAGTACACACACCCTCTGGCAATTAAAAATGTTTCTTATTTTAGATTGACAATTGAAAAAATCACAAAGAAAATGTAAAATTAAACAGTCACACTAAGTGGCACCACTCCTAAGACAGCCTTTTCACTCATCTTTCTGGAAATACTATCCTCTATCAGATTTTCCTTAATAAAAAGGTCTTTCAGGCTCTCAGCAAGACATCCTCCCCTTCTTTGACATTCTGAGTTAGCTTCTTTATATATTCATATATTCATTTGCACTCAGTTCTCTCAACTAAGTATCAAGAAAGGCAAGGTCAAACCATATTCTGGCTCATCACATAAGTAATTAATGGAATCAATTCATGGTGCTAGTAAGTGGTAATTTGTATAAAAATATGAGGGGACTTACAAGTTTGTGGAAAATAGAGTTAAAGTGTGAATTTATTTCAGTGCAAAAAAATTCGAAATCCATGCATTGTTTGTTTGTCTATAATATGCATTTTCTGCTAACTTTTAGAAGACTCCCTCATATACCAAAATGCTGATCTGGATACTATCAGAATTACACAAGTTCTTCCAATTAAGTACTGCCTATAAATGAAGTATGATGCCACAATGAAGAACCATTTATATATATATGCACTGTTTAATCTCTCTAAAATAAAAGGAGGACTAGCCCCATGGCCTAGTGGTTAAGGGAACCAGATCCCACATGGCCAGCTACAGTTCAAATCCTGGCCCTGGCAGCTTGAAAAACATGCCAGGCACATGGGACCAGCAGTTAGCGTAATGGCTATGTCGCTGGACTCCCACATAGTCAACTGCGGTTCGGGTCCCAGAACCAGTGGCTTAAAAACTCATGCCGGGCGCGTGTGCATGCGTGCCCAAGATCCCAAGAGGAGAATGGAGGAGAAGGGATTGTGGCGTGGCCATCCCCCCGGGGGGTGATTTCTCGCTTTCTGTCTCTGTGTCTCTGTCTGTCTGGCAAGCACACGTGCCCTATCGCAAAAACCTCTAAAAAAAAGAAAAAGAAAAGAAAAGCATGCCAGACACAAATGCCCCAAATCCCAACAGGATGGAGAAATGGAGAAGGGATTACGGCATGATCACATATCCCCATTGAGGAGTGCTTTCTCCCTCTCTCTCTGTGTGTCTCATTTTCTCTCTCTGGTGAGCCCATATGCCCTCTAGCTTTCAAATAAATAAAGAAAATATTTCATCAGATGCTTTTCTTAAATTAATACACAATTCTCTGTCACCTCTCATGGGTCTGACAATAGATCATCTGATTTCCCAGACTGCACTACAGTAGAAATACCTAAAGAAAAAGAAGATAAGGTAAAATAGCAGATTTTTTATTGATTTGTTTATGGTACTGTCATAATTCCTCCCAGGAACAAGTATGGCATGAGAGACTGCCTTCTTTATTTTTCCACTACAAAATCAATGGACAGTAAAAGTGCCACTGTATGGTCTTTCAAGAACAGAGTCAAGGGGGGCCAGCAGATGGCGCAATGGCTATGTTGCTGGACTCCCATGTAGTCGACCATGGTTCGAGCCCTGGACCCAGTGACTTAAATTCACACTGGGTGCATGTGCGTGCGTGCCCAAGATCCCAAGAGGAGACTGGAGGAGAAGGGATTGTGGTGTGGCCATCCCCCCTGGGGGGTGATTTCTCACTTTCTGTCTCTGTCTCTCTCTGTCTTTCTGACGAGTACACACGCACTATAGCAAAAACCTGTCAAAAAAATTTTTTTTAATTTGCTGAGTTTAGTTACTAGTTCCCTTGTTGTTTCCTAGGGTTGGCAAGAAAAAAGGTTGGCAAGTATAGGTTTTTTGTTGCCCAGAGGAAGGTCATTCTCATGCAGTCCCCACCTCCCCTCCAGCCCCTGCAGTGTTGAGTTGATGGTGACAGTGGAGCATTAAGCAGAAAGGCCAAGCAATATATAGAACAGCCTATTAGAAAGCTTTCTACTTGGGACCAGCTGATGGTGTAATGGTTACATCACTGGACTCCCACGTAGTCAACTATTGTTCGAGTCCTGGACCCAGTGGCTTAAATTTCATACCAGGCGCATATGCATGCATGCCCAAGATCCTGAGAGGAGAATGAAGGAGAAGGGATTGTGGCGTGGCCATCCCCCCTGGGGAGGGAAGGATTGTGGTGTGGCCATCCCCCCTGGGGAGGGAAATTTCTCACTTTCTGTCTCTCTGTCTCTCCAGCAAAAGCACACACCCTATCGCAAAAACCTGTCTTAAAATAAAAAAGAAAGTCTTCAACTTGGTACACTGATTAACCAAGTATGATGGAGATAAACAGTGTAAACACAACTTGAACAAAGATCCCTTTCTTCCCAAGGAAAGGTCCATGGGGGGCCAGCAGATGGCATAATGGTTACATCACTGGACTCCCATGTGGCCGACTGCAGTTTGATTCCCAGATCCAGCAGCTATAAATTCAGGCCAGGTACATGTGCGTGTGCCCAAAATCTCAAGCAGAGAGTGGAAGAGAAGGGATTCCAGCATGGCCATCACCCTGGAAAGTGATCTCTTGTTTTCTGTTTCTCTGTTTCTCCAGCAAGCACACATTCCCTACAGCAAAAATCTCTCTCACTAAAAAAGAAACAAGCCAGACAGAGAGAGACAGAGAGACAGAAAGTGAGAAATCACCCCCCCCAGAAGGGATGGCCACACCGCAATCCCTACTCCTTCATTCTCCTCTCGGGATCTTGGGCATGCATGCACACATGCCCAGCGTGAGTTTTAAGCCACCGGGTCTGGGACGCAAACCACGGTCGACTACATGGGAGTCCAGCAACATAGCCATTATGCTAATTGCTGGTCCTGTCACTTTTCTTTTCTCTTTATTATTATTTTTCACCATTTTGCTATAGG